AAAGAAACCAAGTCACGACGACTAGAGTTCTCCAAAAGAGAGCCATGTATGCGTCTCTATGATAAGAGGAACGTTTACGTAAAAGCTATAGCTTTGATGAAGAGATGGTTGTAATCGTCATTGTTTCCAATCTATATATATTTTGTCACATGAACTAGGATCATTAATTTTATCGATGCCAGGAGCAATTTATGTTGAGTGTGGACTTGCGTAGTTCGGCTAAGAGGAATCCACTTTCTTACTTTTTTTTGTCGTGTGGCCACGAGCTATTCTTGATAGGACAAGTTCATTGTTGCCATCTCATAATATATTCTCTTGAGAAATACTTATGTGACTATCCTGAATTTATAGTGAGAATAGCAGCTTGTTTTGAGTCATAAATAAATAAATAACAAATAATTAGAAAATATTGTGGGATCCACTCATTCAAAAATTTATGACTCACAACATGTTGTTAGGATAACAGTAGCCCAAAAACGGTTACGACAGCAAAGCCCCTCTTCTCTTTATTGCATGTAGGCCGAGAATTTAAAAGTTTGGGGCACGACAAAATATTCAAATTGATATATATCATATATATTTGGCCTAATACCCTAAAAAACCTCAAACTTTAGCTTTTGTCCCAATTTAAAAGTTTGGGGCACGACAAAATATTCAAATTGATATATATCATATATATTTGGCCTAATACCCTAAAAAACCTCAAACTTTAGCTTTTGTCCCAATTTTACCTTTTGTCTTGTAAAAAAAACCTCTAACTTTAGGTTATGTCCCAATTCTACCTTAAACTTTTTTTGTCCCTTAAAAAACCCACAACTTTAGATACAGTCCCAATTCTACCCTACCTTTTTTGTATAATAAAAAACCCTCAATTTTGGATTCGGTACCAATTTTATCCTAAACTTTTTATTTGTCTAGTAAAAATTTTCAGCTTTAGGTCAAGTTTTAATTTCACTCTAATTATTTTTTGTCTTATAAAAAGATCATCAACTTTTACTTGAGTCCCAAATTTACTCTTCATTGACCCTTCGTCAAAATCGTCCATAGTGATTTTGCGCTCGTTGGTGTCTCATGCTTGGGAATGTTCCATCTCTGGTGGTCGGAGAGCTCACACCCGGGACGCTCGAATAGCTCATGCTTGGGACACTTGAACAGCTTGTGCTTGAGAGTTTTCCATCTCTCAGTTTCCAACAAGAAATTTTGGAATGAGAGTTAACGTGGACAGATTTGTGATTCAAGTAAAAGTTTGTGAATTTTTATAAGACTGTAAAAATTTTAGGGTAAAATGGAGACTGGGTGTTAAAATTGAGACAAAACCTAAAGTTAGAGGGGTTTTTCATAGAACAAAAAAAAGTTTATGGTAGAATTGGGACAGGACCTAAAGTTGGAGGTTTTTTATGAGACAAAAGGTAAAATTGAGACAAAAGCTAAAGTTCGAAATTTTTTAGGGTATTAGGCCTATATATTTTCAAAAATTACCAAATTTTATGAAGTATTTTTGGGCCTAGGGACAGATAAACATCTAGTCCGTTAGGAAGTTATGTAGGCTAATGTGGCTCTTTGGCTTCGTTGTTTTACGGAAAATAAATTATTAGAAAAATATTTCTTAAAAGTTATTGGTTGTATCGCTTAAATAATCAGCCAACAAAAAATATTTTCGTTATCGATAGAAATTTATGTCTAAATATTTTCGTGGACAATAAAAATACTTTTCGTTTATTCATCTTTGCGAGGAATATAAGCGATCATTTGTTAGAAAACATTTTTTAAATCATTCATTTTCCACGAAATAAACTGTGCCTTCAATTAAAAGTTTTTTCCCCACCAATTCACGAGGAATTTCACAAATCACAGCTTTATTGGTCATATCCATCCATTGATCACATTCGATCCAAACTTATTTTACATCATCGTTAATTGATACAAGTCATGCTAATTGCAAAGATTTTGTAGCTGCCAACCTGCAATATCAATGCACATTGGCCTTTGGCCCCCATTAGTCATATATCTTTCTTCCGTCTCCTCTTCTCTCTTCTTCTATCTTCGAGAAATTTTCGAAGATCCGTTCTTCGGGCATTGAAATTTTTTGAAGTCTTTTTGAGATACGACATTTGAGGCAGAAAGTAGGACAATATACTTGGCAGTACGACGCGCTTAGAAAGGTGAGTCGCTCTCTCGAGAGGCCACAGAAACTCTCCTTCTGGCGTCATCCGCCCAGCCCCGCCACATGCGATGAGTTAATACCTTAATGAATCTCAACCATCGATACATTCGTCATAAATTTTGTATAGCTAGCAATCGATCGAGGACATTCCCAGCAGCAATACTGGTTGGTATAGACACGCCCTTGAATAATAGTGTACAAGCGTAAATGGCTAAATCAGATGTACTTTCCAAGTCGTAATGAAAGAGTACCTCAACAAACTCTACTTTGAAATTAATGCAAAGATTACAAACGAAATAATTAAACAACATCAAGTGAAAGGACGAACGGGATGAACGACTAACATAAGATACATCAAACCATTACCATTGCAATAATGCCGAAGACAGCCATGATCGAGGCGCAATATCGAGGCGCAATGCTTCCTCCGGCAGCCGAGGCTTCACCTGCTACGGGCGCGGGTGCAGGCGACTCTGTTTTTGGCAGCACGGTTATGACAAGTTTCATGCCGATTGCACAATGCTTGCCGACGCCGCAGATGTACCACTTTCTTCCAGGGGCCAAAAGAGGAATGACGTCGTTCCCGGTGGCCAGAGGCACAGTGCCCACCGGCGCCGCGCACTGTTGGAAGCCGGTCCCGTTGACTTTCAAGACGTTGTGGACGCTCTCCGGATACTTGAAAACTGCAACAAAGAGGAAGTATAGCCCTCTTAGCATCAGCTAAGCATGACACCCATTCTAGACAAATTTTCATGCCCATACTAATCGAGGCGATGCCCCCGTCACGGTACGAAAAGTCATTTACATCATTGCATTTTCATTGATTTGACCTATAAAAATTTCTTTGGTGCAAAATTGTGGGACAAGCAAGCATGTTTGCTCGAATGCGCGGCACGCTTCGAGCGGCACGGGCGAGAAAAATAGGGAGGAGCACAAGTCATACCGAGCCGGTCGCCGACGTAGAACTGCTTCCCGCCGGCCCAGGTTTGGTAGTCGAAGTTGAGGGTCCAGCCCTTGTCATCTCCAACCATGAAATCAGTACCCATCACCGACGCAGGAACAGATGCTGCTGCAACTAGAGCCAAGGTCACGAAGATAATGGACGATGCCATGGTTTTAAAAAGTTTAAGAACGCTCTTTAACGCTTCAGAGGGCAGAAAAGATAGGAGACACAGCAACAGTTCAAGAGATTTTCTCGAGGTGGAAGAGATTCCTTGGGAAACTATTAGGGTTGCAATGAGGAGAGACTCGGCTCTCTCGAGCTACATTTATAGGATCAAGTGAATGCGATCCGGCTGAAGACAGGCCAAACAGATTCGACAGGTGCATGAGAAAAATAATACATAAAAACGAATGAAATGTTGTGTAATATGATTTGGAAAAATGACAAAATGGAATGCTTAGGACTAATTCAAAGAAATTTTTGTGACTGACCCCATTGCCATCTTGGAATTCTCCGCGGACGTCCGCGGTACCGTCCGTCCGATGTTTAGCTACCGAACATATGGAGGCCGCGGAAATGTGTTTGAATAAGGCGAAAGGCTAGATTTCACCTGTGGAAGTTGCCGTGCTAGTACGGGGAAATGACGCTACCGGCGCTCATTTTGTTTACGCCGTGATTTTTTCGAAATCGTGAATTGTGGGTCGGTTTAGATATATTAACTACTCCGCGGCACATCATTTCTTCGATATTGGACTGTTTCTGATACAATTTACGCTTGTGTTTCAATAACAAATCGATAGGAGCAACCGTTTACGAAAGGAAAACCATTTGGATAACGCAATGTGATGACCACAACCTCATTGATGATATCTATAAGGGAAAACCAATGTTGCCTCTAAGTTTGCTGCCTAGAACTGGAACTGTAGATCGTTATAAATGGACTCTCCTCGTTGCAAGAAAAGGTTTTGGTGCTTTCTCCGCAAAATAGCAAACCTTACATACTAATTTTTTACCCTCATTTTTCTCTTCTCTCTTCATTATTACATTATTTAATGGTAATATATATTTGCATCTAAGAAAAAAAATTATTTTAGCATAATAACATAATTTAAATTTTTTTAATATAAGTTAGTAAACAGAAGTGCCTATTGCTTATATGCATTTAAGAGTTTAGTATAATATTCATGATGTAATATTTAATATAATTTTTGTGAGCTTTTATTTTTATACTAATTAGTTGTTTTTTTTTACTTTGATTGTTTAGTTTTTCGTGCACCTTTTACAAGTAATGATACGTTAAAATAATGTTATATTTATGCCGAAATGTTTCGAGCTCCATCATAATTATACTTTTGTATGACAATCCGCGCAACGCGTGGATCAACGTCTAGTCGTTTTAGGAAGTTAAAATTACTTGGCATGTGGCTCTTCAAGTTACATTTCAAGAAATTTCAGACGATTCTCATGGCCACATAGACACAAGTATTGCCAAGATTCATCCATGGATCAAGTCCATTCCAATGCATAATCGTTAGTTGATGCATGGACATGCTGATGGGAAAGATTTTGTTGCTGCCAACCTGCAATATCAATGCACATTTGTTCTTTGGTTCTTCCATGTCCTCTTCTCTCTTCTTCTATCTCCTACCACAAGAATCCGTTCTTCGAAGATCGGCAACCGTTGGGTCACGGAAGAACAAATCTTGATCGTTCATCGAAAATCATTAAGTTTTTGTGAGGTACGACATGTTATGAAGAAGACATGTCTAGGCGGCTAATACCTCAAACACAAGCCTCCGAAAATGAGGAGAGAACCCAAATGACAAATCGTGTAGAGTTTCGAATTGCGATATCGGTTGGAATAGATACGCCTTTGAGTAATAACAGCATAAATGGCTAAAACAAATGTATTTTCTATGTCGTAATGAAAGAATACCTTCACAGACCAGACTTTGAAAATTAATGCAAAGATTACAAACGAATAAATCAAACACCGAGTGAAAGGACGAACAGGATGAATGACTGATTTAATGTACATCAAACGATGACCATTGCAATAACGCTGACAACGGCCGTGATCAAGGCATAATATCGAGGCACGACGCTTCCTCCGGCTGCCGAGACTTCAGGTGCTGTAGGCACGGGCACGGGCGCGGGCGATGCCGTTTTGGGCAGCACGGTTATGGCGAACTTCATGTTGCGAACCGCACAATGATTGCCGACGCCACAGATGTACCACTTCCTTCCAGGGGTTTCTAGGGGAATGACGTCATTCCCGGTGGTGAGAGCCACGGTGCCCGCCGGCGCCGCGCACTGCTGGAAACCAGTCCCATTGACTTTCAAGACATTGTGCACGCCCTCCGCATACATGAAAACTGCAACAAAGAGGAAGAAGTATTGCATTTCAATTGATTTAACCTATCAAAATTTCTCTAGGGCAACCTTGTGCAGGTTTTCACAGTAACATTGTGGGACAAGTACGCATGTTTGCTCAAATGCGCCGCACGCTTCGAGTGGCATGGGCGATAAAAACGGGAGGAGTATGGTTCGTACCGAGCTTGTCGCCAACGTAGAACTGCTTCCCCTCGGCCCAGGCTTGGTAGTCGAAGTTGAGGGTCCAGCCCTTGTCATCTCCGACCATGAAATCAGTGCCCATCACCGATGCAGGAACAGATGCTGCAACTAAGGCTAAGGTCATGAAGATAATGGACGATGCCATGGTTGAAAAAGTTGACGATGCTCTCTTATGCTTCAGGTGGGCAAAAAAGAAAGAAGACAAAGGAACACTTCAGAAATTTTTCTTGAGGCAGTAGAGATTTCGTAGGAACTATTGGGCTTGCAATGAAGTGCAGGCTCTCAGGCTATTTATAGTATCAAGTTAAGACTGATGTCAACGCAAGTCAATGAAATGCAATTCGGCCGAAGACGGCCAAACTGATTCAACAGGTGCATAAAAAATTAAGAACGGATAAAATAACTTAACAACATTTAGAGAATGAAAGATGGAATGCTTAGGACTAATTCAAATAATCATGTGACGACAAATCCGCCATCTTAGAATTTAGCTGCCAGACATATGGAAGCTACGAAAATGGGTTCGAATAAGGCAAAAGCTAGACTTGCTGGTGGAACCATTTGAAGAGAGATTGGGCGAAGCCATCAAAACCTAACACTGACCAGCCATGTAAGCGTTTCCTGATTTCGAAATAGGAAAACTAGGCAGTGTGACTATTGCTTAGGACCTTACATTCCCGGAACGAATTACTTCTGACACAAATAGAGGAGCTGTGAAAGTTAACTGGGATAGAAAAGGATTGGTGATCTTGGGGTTCCCACGCAAAATAAAGTGGGACTTTCGCATATGCAGAGCTCATTGAAGGAAAAGCCGCAACCGTGCAGGAAGCAATTCTTGGTGTCTCGGTCTGGCACAAATTTTGATTGATCTTGATATAGCCAACGAAAAGTGAAGCAGAAGCACAAGTGTGCAATTGGAAATATAATAGCTTCTTTCCACCGCATAACGAACTTACAAAAAATAGCAGCTCATGCTGCGAAAGTACAGATGTAGCTCTAGAAAGTATCCTGTAATATACTTGATCATCACCCTCAATATGATGATGTTTTGTACATGCTTCTCACAAATCTAGTAGCCCAAGATGGGTAATAACAACTGCCACAGGACAGTGTGGACAAGGATGGTTCAGACTGTGAGAAGGTTTTTATGAAATTCTGTACAGTCAGTACCTGCTGCTGTGTTTATTTCGGGTATGGCTGACTCAGGCTTACTTCAGGTAAAACAGGGGTTAGCTCAATTTTTGGGAGTGCATCTCTTTGATGTCGAGGTCAGCTGTATCGTGAGTAAACTTCCTATGGGAGTTGAATAATGAAGATGAGCATTAACATGGACCAATATGTAACCATCCTTCAACGGCGCAAGAATCAACAAATAACCAATGTGGCAACATCCTCTCAGCCATCAGCGAATGCCCAAACTCCTGCAGCAAAAGTCTTACAGTAAACATCAAAAGGTCAAACAATATAAGCTAGCACGTTTACAACCTTCAGTACCTCGCACTAAATCTGGTGCCTGCTTCAGTAGTGGCAATTCCATTTCCATATTGGGATTGCTTTTCCCCAAAGGGAGTTCTCTCCTTCACCAAATTTGTCACCTGCAAGACATGCAATAAGACTGAGCAGAAGCAGCAGCACAACATCAAGGGACCAAATAGCGTAAGTTCCCTTTTTACCTCAAGGTTTTGCTGTAGAGTATGGAATCTATTTTCTTTCGGACCCTAACAAAGAGAAGTGAGTAACTCAATACAATAATAACGAAGGTCAAACATCATAGAGGCCGAAAAGCAGTGTGTAATCAATTAAAAGGCGCAAGAACCTTCATGGAGACACGGGGGGGCTGACATGATTTTCGCTGAGAATAAGATCCATTACTGGGCTGGAGTTCAGGTTTTAGGGACAGCTGACAAAAAACCAAGGAATTATTCTTAAAAGAGATGACAAAGCACAAATTGAATAATAACTGAAGAAATTTATTGATATCATAAGTTTCAGCTTCCAGAGATGCTTCGCAAACACAACTCAGCATTCTCTACCTTGCTAAAAAGTTCCGTCGGCGGATTATGCTGAATCCTTTTCTCATTATTGAACTTAAATTCCTGTATTGACATTTGGTTTTAGTTTGTGTAAGAGAAACAACATAGGTGGTAGAAACATTCAAGGCTTGTAATGAATACCATAGGCACCGTTGCTTCCCGCTTTTTATTTCTGAAGACCCCAATGTCTCCTTTACTTGAAAGAATCTGCAGACCTCATACAGATTATGTATCTGAAAATTTAACATGACATTCCTGGCAGATAACAACTGACTATATTCACCTTTTTATTGAGCGGATGAGCCTTAAAAGCATACATTGAGCAGGTTCCATCCAGCCTGGAAGCATCCACACCAGTGGTTCTGTAAATTACCAAAGCAACACCAGAGTCATCTTAGCTTTTCTATCTTGATAATTAAATGCTTCCAATGTTCTCTCTTTGTACTACAATAATCAAAATGAGGCAATATCAGCATACGCTACTTCTTTGATGCCTTAAGCTATTTATCAGGAGAAACGTTAGCGTGTACAATCCGGAATCTGAACATTGATGCTGGAACTTTTTGCTCCCAACAATCACCCAGAGTTGGCAGCTCTTACTACACAACCGAACATGAAAGCATTTTTACTCCTTGGTGGCGGCAGTTTTTTTTAGCAAGGCAAACTCATATTAGGTGATTCCCCCTGGCCCAAACCCCAAAAGGAAAGAACAAAAGAAAATGCAGGTAAAAGAGAGCCAGAAAAAAAGAGAACTACTGGGTCCCCCAACAAGGGATACATGAAATAAAGATTTTTCTATCAGATTAAGACACGTAATATAAAACACTAGTACTATACAAATCCAACCAAGTAATCCTAGAGGTCGTCAGGATAAACAGATCATGCATGAGACCAAAAGGGTGACCAGGGATATTTGATACGAACTTCACTTCCAACCAGTTTATGGGAGAAACTGATCAAAAGATTTTGTAACAATTACCTTCGAGGACTCCTGGGTTCTTTTTCTGCAACTGGACAGGATTTCAGCAATTCCTACGAGGAAAAAGTTGAATTAGAACAGGAAACTGGCAAACCTGACAATCATGTGATCACATCAAGTATTTCTTTAACGGTTTGAAGAAACGGGTAACTTTAGATAGAATAGCATTCTATTCCAAGGACAATGTCATTACCTTATCAGATTCATGCAACAAGGACGATGTAGCACCTAAATTATGCTCCATAGCTCTTTCCAGGGTCTTCAGGTGGAAAACCTGAAGAAAATGACAAATAAAAGTCGAGAAAAATGAGTGTGTGAATCAATTATCAAGCACACAGTACATAGAAGTACAAAAATTAGAAGAGCCAAAGAATACTTGAAACTCCGGCATTCTCGGAATGCTCTTTTTTGGAAGTGGCAGAGAAGGAGCCTCGAAAATCTGAATATTACAGAAGCAAATTCCAGTCAAAGGGGAGAACAATAAGGAACAGACTGGAGTTCACTTCAGAAAGGCGCACTGACTTTTCTATTCAAAGGTCTTGCTTTGAATTTGCGTACAGTCACTGTTGATTGTTCCTCATCACTTGTGTTTCTTGGCCTGCAATTCAAAAGATTTCAAATGCGTATACACATTACCAATGTCAAACGCCAGAAATCAGTAGATAGATCCACAGTGATATTGAACCTCGCCCTTTGTGCCCTTTGAGCTGTTTCAAGCTCCGGCTCCCGAGGAATGGTAAGCCTCAGCTTTGAATGAGGGTTCTTCTCGACTATTGCATCCTGCAAATTCATCCAGAGATTCATGCCACATCACATACTACTGCAACACCCGCCAAAATTCTAAATGCTTATTACTGCTGTCCAGCGCTTGGCAATATTAAAATGTAAATCTCCGCATCAGGTTTCAAGAGCAATGTCAAGCATGACGGTACCTTTTTAGGTGCCTTGTGGACAAAATCAGTCTGCTGCTTTACTTCACCAACCTGTCACAAGATGATGAGGCTGAATTTAGTCTTCTTAAACAACTAGATAGCATATAAACTCCAGACAAGAGGAGTTTCCAGCTCTAAGCTAGGCCTATGTCAATTTACTATCATTGAAAATTGCCCAGAACCAAAATGTTGCCTCATTGAAGTTGATTATCTAACCAAAGTCCTCTAATGATCTAGTTCAGAAGCAACCACTCATGATCTGATTCTAGCAAAACAGCTCGTTTTCTAAAAAGATTACTTTATACTTAAGCACAAAAATCTGCACTTTACAACAGTCACCTATATTTTCATTAACTCGAATTAATCACAATGAAGGCTTTAAGCAGACCAAGAACACAAAGATGATGTAGCCTGACCTTCCGCGAATGACCCCCATCTAACTTCTGTCTCTTAGTTGCTTGACCCTCACCAGCAGAAGAACCACCCAAGCTCTTCCCACTGATCTGACTTGTTTGCACCTGAAATCTAAGAACCAATGAAAGAAAGTTATCAAAAATTACTCATACTGAAAGCAATAGCACATTTACTTTCTACAACATTAACATAAATGTGCATGTAAACAACGTAGCTAGCTAAAATACCAAATGCCAACATTTGGAGAAACATGTAGTTTGCAAAGACAGAGGACAATCTTTTCAGGAATAAATTTGACCAAGTCACCTTAGGAGCTTACAATCTTACACAGTAAGTGGAAATTAAAGGTCTTCAATTAGTCATCAGTTTCTTAACTTATAAATAAGGTGGTAAAATCATGGCAAAGCAAACAAGAGTATAAGAAACTTATATAAAAATAGCATTTACCTGGAGCTCGCAACTTGAGATGGCTGATTTTGCTTGGCCAACATACTTGCAGTTGGCTTCATTAATGTTGAGCTCCTTGGTAGACAAGGCTTGACTGATGTCCTGGATTTAGCTTTTATCGTGTTGCATGATATGTGATTATAAGATCTCAGTCCTGCAATAAATAATTATAAGAAAAAAGAGAGGTATCATGTTGCATGCATGAAGCACTAATACACATATAAGTACAAACATTTCAGGGGGTTACAGTTAAAAAAAAAACTGTCGGTAATTTGCCCAAACTTAACAAAATTTTGAGAGTTTTCATCTGGAAGTTCCTTAAAAAACATATTTTGGATATTTCAACTAGTTGAAGAACCAAATTCTGAATCTTTATGGAGATGAAAGACAGATACATGCTTCTAAATAATAACACCGGTTCTCCACTTAAAAGACCTCAAAAGACTTGGGGAACAGTTTGTTGCATATACACATCAGTCAGACGAACCCAGTAAAGCACAAAGTACCGAGTACTTGAGAACCTCATATAGTTCAACTTTAAGCCTGCAAGAATAAATTCATTGTGGGTCTTTGATCACCTTCAGAAAATCCTAGCGGCTGCCTCTCAGGTTTCTGTAGATTTTCAATCTGAAACTTGGTGAATATTCCTTTTCCTTTAGCCATCGCATCGCAATCTAGACGACAATAAAGCCGATTTACTGTCAGCACAGATTGCTCTAGATTTAACATGATTCTTTTATGTGTATCTTCCGCATTCGAGCTATTAAGAATACATTTGTATATCAGATTTCATGGGAGAAAAACATGAACAATCTTGAATTGAGATTTTTCTCTTCAGCATCAACAACAGGACTTGCTATGACAGGTGCAGGATAAAAACGCAAGTCTGCAACTGCAGAAAATAATTGACTTCAAAAAATCCCCAATTCCATGATTATCACCGAAGCTGTAGAAACCTTTTTTGTAACAGGGGCTGTAACCCCTTGATAACAAACTATAATTTTTTTAGTTATCCAAAACTAAGTAATATTAAGGATTCAGTACAATGTTTGAGAAAAATGCTTCGAGCATCACTTCACATGAAAAGAATCTGTTCTTAGCAAAAAAAAAAAAAAAGCCAGAGTCTGTCACATTCAGTATGGTATGAGATAGCCTAAAAATGGATCGTGCCTAGAGACTTTCATTAGATCCCAAATGCATGTCACAAGAACAAGAAGACACAACCAAACAACATGAAGTGTCAGCTTTTTGAAAACTAGGAAACTTGCCAAATAAAGAAAATGTGAAAAGAATCAAGATCATTGTTTCTGAGAAATTATCTCGCAGCACGTGTCATGATTTGGGCAGATTAATTATGGTCTACATTGGCATTTCTCGACCAGAGTAGATGATAATGAATAGTTCCCGAATTACGGCTAAATTAAATATATAAGACAGAACCAACTTTTTTTAGGGGTATCGGGGATCAGAATATAATTGATGATATGCGACACAAGAAAGACTGAGCTTTATAAAAAATATTGATTTTTTTAAAAAAACCATCAAAGGAAAGATTCTTCACCGTACCTTTGCTATTTGGTTGAACAGCTTCGAGTTCTTCAGTGCCAGCATCAATTTCGCCGAATCGGACATGAGAATCAGTCTCCATCATTTTGGATTTCGGAGAGATGTTCACATTCTTTGACAGGATTTCATCTCTCAGAATCAATTTCACCACAAAAGCTATTTCGGAGGAAGAACAAAAAGAAAGATGGAACATGTAAGGACTTCATTACACAGTTCAAATCTGTGTACGGAAATAAGAAGAAGAGTAAAAAGCTCCTAATTGTAGTAGTATATCAACAATATACAAACAACAACAACTATGACCACGCCTTAACATGACAAATCACACAAGCAAAGAGAATCCACTCGTATCATTAATTCGCGATACAAATTACGGCAGGGGTAACGAATCCCATAGAGCAGCCGATAAATTTGCCGTCGCTACTAAAAGAAGGCAATCAAAAGCAAAGTTTGCCCTCCTTTCCACGTCGCATGCTGCGAATAGTATGAACCAAGCCCAGAGGACCCAGATTCAGAGCTGTTACAAATCTTTTTCGCCTATAATTAGACTCTCCGAATGTCGACAAAACCTCAACTTGGCATCATTCCATTTCCGACGAAGTTTACACCCGGACAATATAAATCAACGGTCTCAGTTCCCGAACAAGCAACAGTGGGCCGAGTAGTTCCAGGCAGTATGATAACAACAGAAAAACGGTAAAAGGAAAAGGGAAAAGGCTGTTCTTTTCCCCAAGCAAAGCACGAGAAAAGAACTAAGCAGCTGCTAAAATGCTCGAAATCGAATAAAGCCGCAAACTTTCCAGCAGAAATTCTACATTGTTGAGAGAGAGAGTATATGCCACGAAAGCTCAAAGGGAACATTCACACTCATCTTCCCCGCGCCCCACATTCGGCGCGATCAGACAGTTCGGTGGCGGAAATCACAGGCGGAGCAAAACGAGCGAGTAAAAAATCCGAAACGCCGCACGGTTCGGTCGGCGGGGATTTCGAGCGGCGGACTCACGGGAAGGCGGGTAGCTCCCGGCGGACTCGAACCAGAGCTCGGCGTCGCGCGCCTCCGCCGCGGACTCCTCGCGGGAGAAGTCGAAGTGCTGGGGGGCATCGTACTCGTAGTCGGGGTCGATCTCGCGCACCACGAACACCTCCCCCTCCTCCTCCTCCGCCATCTCCACCTCCATCTCCATCTCCACGCCCTCCTCCTCCTCCATTTCGCCCCCCTCCCTCTCCCTCTATGGAAGAAGAAGCCGTTCTGGTTCAAAAAGAGGCCACTCTCTCTCCTCTCTCTCTCTCTCTCTCTCTCTAGCTTTCTCTCTCTCTCTCTGCGACTGTGATGGAGACAACCCTAACCTGGAAATGCGGGTTTCTGTTCTGAGGAGTTCGACGGAGGAGACGACGCAGATGGGGGAAGCAGCAACGGCCCGGGCCAGGGGCTTTCTCGGTATTTCGCGATCCCCGGCTTGCGTATTCCGAGGAGGGAGGGCGCTCAATCGATCTATGTAACGATGGGAATTTTCGGGGGGCCCTGAATTAATTTATCCCTTTTTAATTTATAATCTTTTCTTGTTCATAATTCGGAAAACGGATCTATACTGTAGACATGGCCACGGTTCAGGAACTGCCGATTCCGGTTCCTGTTCGGAACCGACGGTTCCGGGCCGGTTCCGGTTCCGACAGGTTCCGGTTCATAATTTAAAAATTAATAAAATAAATTATAAAATAAAAATTAGAGGCCTGGTCCTCCGTCGGTCGTCGCTCGAGCTTCGCGGCCTTGGCCACGGTGGCGGAGGCGGGGTTTAAGGCGGCGAGGAGATGAAGCGGGAGACGGGGGCGGCGGCGAGGGGGAGAAGGAGGGGGCCGGGAGGGGGACGGGGACGGGGACGGGGACGGGGAGGAGGAGCGGGGGGTCCTCCTCCTCCGGGTGCTGGGCGGGGTCGGGAGGAGGGGAGGAGGAGGGGGCGTCGGCTTCGGCAGCTGCGGCCATGGGCGGCGGCGGCGGGGATCAGATCTGAGGAGACAGGGGGCGGGCAGAGGAGAAAAGGGGAGGAGGCACAAGGTAGCGAGGGGGGAGGAGGAGGGGGCGTCGGCGTCGGCAGCTGCGGCCATGGGCGGGGGCGACGGCGGCGACGGTCAGATTTGGGAAGACGGGGGGCGGGCGGAGGAGAAAAGGGGAGGACCGGAGGAGGCGCAGGAGAGAGGGGGGAAGGAGGGATTTGGAGGAGGAGGTGGGCGTGGGAACGTGGGGCTGCAGCAGCAGTTTTTTTTTTTTTTTTTTTGAACCGGAATCGGGCCCGTAGGCCACGGGCCGGTTCCGGTTTTGAACCGCGGGCCCGGTCAACGGGCCGGTCCCGGGCCAAAACCGGCCCGTGGCCATGTCTACTATACTGTCTATTTTGTTGCGGAAAATAAAATGAACTTTTCTATTTTCAAGAGACCACGATTACCATATATGTGAGCTGATAATTCTATTATATCTCTCGCATATTTCGATTATCCAGACATTTTCTGTTTGATATCGTCCTTCCTGAAAATGTTCAAGTTTTGTGGTATTTTTTGCTCGCGCCACGTGTAATTACAACGGTTTTTTCGTTATGTATCGTGTAGTTTTGTAAATAGCTCTTTTTCATAATTTAATGATTCGGCTATTTCGTAAAGTGATTCTGCTTAATCTTTCAAATATCAATTCCTTGCATACGGGCAACACGTGTCCACATGCACGTGTTAATACTCCAATCCTAAGAAAATAATGAAATGTTAAATGAGGGCTATACAAGTTAGTGAATCCAGTGCACATAAATGTGGGATAAGCCTATACAAGCATTTTTCCATTTATCAAGGGAAAAACAAATAAAAGCACATCACGTACGATATGCCAATTCTAACACATTGCCTATATTTTATTACGGCAGAATATAAAAATATGCCCAAATCACAAGCAATTGAAATGGGTCGATTACTTTAGCGAATCTCATTTCAATTTTATTACGATGGTCGTCCGTCTTATCATATATTTCAAAACTATAAAACATAAAAGTACGTAAAAAGCGCAAACCACAAGCAATCAAAAAAAGGGCCAATCAGTTTGGCAGGTCTCGTTTCAATATGCTATACGATCGCAGACCAGCACGTTCGATGCCTAGATTTAAGTCCAACAAATCAAACGAACATCTTTTTTCGCCCTCCCTTTTGAGATTTGAAAATCCAATTTTGTGTTGGAAATTAAGAAAGTTTGACACAACAATCGGTTACGTGATCGCAACATTCCTCATAAACCTCAATTCTTGCCCAAGAACACCCTTCAAGTGTCGCCAATCCACCCTTTTTTTTCCCGTAACGCATCGGGACGGGGGACACCGTCACCGTCGGATCGGACACGTGGAAGCGTCCCGCTTCTCATCGCGGGTTCTCGAAACCATCGTCATTTCTCGAACTCCCCAGATTAAAATTAAAAAATAGCCCTTTAATTTCCCCGCCGTAATGACTAAACTGGCCCTCGATCCCCACCGTTCGCCCATTTGAAATTCAAATGGGCGTCCGGGGACGGAAAAGTCAAAATGCGATGCGATACGGTGGGGTGGAGAATACTTTTCGGAATCTTCCACCGGTGTCGTTGACGGGAGGGGCAACGGCGTCGGGTTCCGAGCTCGATTTCGGAGGGGGGACAAATTCCGGCGTCCGACAGGTAGAGGGGGGGCTTTTGTGCGCACGAGGATATTGGCGAGGTTGCCACTAGCCGTTTTAGTAGTTTGTCCCCGTGCTAGTAGAAAGTGACAAGTGCAAATGGGGATGGGGATGGACCACAAAAGAAAAATGAGGGTGGGGTCCGCCTAAAAAAGGGCCGGTTCTGACCCAGTTTCCGATTCCATAAAATTGGAACCGGCTAGTTTTGAGTGGTTCTTGGGAGCACCGGTTCAGCACACGTTTTCATAAAATTGGAACCGGTGAATTTCGATGCGATTTTCCGGCTTTAGGTGTGAAATTGCCCACTCGGACCATTTTTTTTATTTTGTTTATTTCTTAAAAATATGTAAAAAGAAATCCTAATATACTCATTTCACAAAGAAAAGCCCTTCAAGCTTGGAGCAATTATGTTTACTTATGCACTTTAGTAAAGATGATAAGAACAAATCAAAACACAACAGCAGCTGCTCATTCCAATCAAATTTTACCACAAATTGAAAAAATCTCTGTGAAACCTAAATTGTTACACATAATTTCTGATTGTAGAGATGCCTTGATTATCAAAAACATCTTCAATTTCGCCTTGAACATTAACGAAAAAAAAAAACTAAACATTTCATAGGCCCACTCGATCCAGTTCGGTTCTTGGGTGGAAACCAAACCGCCTGGAAATCAACCACCCCTAATTATACTAACATTATTAGTTTGTCCAGTGCTAAAAAGTGATGAGTGCAATGGACAAGATGACGAGGTCACGCAAGTTCGGTCTGAGCCCGCGGCTTGCAATCGTGGAGGCCGTGCGAGGTTAAGCTCAAGCTCATGAGGGTTGCGGCTGTCGCGAGCAACGTAAGCTATTTAGCAAAAACTCAACCACGATTGTTGCCAAAATCAAGATCGTTGACCTCGAGTTGGTCTAGACTTGGGCGAGCGTGATGATCAACGGTGTAACATTTTATGGGATCAGTAGGATCGCTGCTAATTGTTCTAAAAATTTAAGTATAATACTAAGCGTTGATATATTTAATCGAAAAGGCAAATGAGGTTTAGAGAGAGTTGAACTCGGGAATCTTGCTATGTTATTATGTGAGATTTTGTGGAGCCACTGTCAACTGTTTAAAAAAATTAAGCCATCAGATAAAAGACGGAAAAGTACAAAAAAAGTCTTAAACATATTGTATTGGTACCAATTTAGTCCTAAATTTTTCAATTGGACCAATTTAATCCTAAACATTTTCACATTGATGCAAATTTAGTCCATTCGGCCAATTTAAGCAGAAAATCGCTAACGTAAGATCGCGCGGCACTAACGTGGACAAATTTTATAATTTTCTTAGATTTTTTTAATGTTTTTTTCTTTTTTTTCTCTCTTTTTTTCTTTTCCCATAACTGGTTGGCCGGCGAGGTCACCGACCACAGGTGAGGGCTAGCAACCCTTGCCTGGTCTGGGTGAGGACCGCCGCGCCGTCACTGACCATGGGTGAGGGTGTCAAGTGCAAATGGGGGTGGGGCCAGACCAAAAAGGAATAATGGGGGTGGGGGACCGCCTAAAAAAGGGCCTGTTATGAGTAGTTCCTAGGGAAATCGGTCCAGTTTCCAATTCCATAAAATTGAAATCGGCTAATTCTGAGTGGTTCTTGGGAGCACCGGTTCAGTACACGTTTTCATAAAATTGGAACCGGTGAATTTCGGTGCGATTTTTTGGCTTTCGATGTGGAATTGCCCACTTGGACCATCTTTTTTTAACTTTTTTATTTCTTAAAAATCTGTAAAAAGAAATCCTAATATACTCATTTCAAAAAGGAAAGCCCTTCGAGGGTGGAGCAATTATGTTTACTTATGCACTTTAGTAAAGATGATAAGAGCAAATCAAAACACAGCAGTAGCTACTCATTCCAACCAAATTTTACCATGAATTGGAAAAATTTCTGTAAAACTTACAATGTTACACGTAACTTGCCGATTGTAAAGACGCCTTAATTATCCAATTTCGTCTTAAACATTAACGACAAATAACAAAAAATTAAACATTTCATAGGCCCACCAGGTTCGGTTCGGTTCTTGGGTGGAAACCAAACCGTCCGGAAATCAATCACCCCTTATTATACTAACATTATTAGCTTGTCCAGTGCTAAAAAGTGATGAGTGCAATGGACGAGATCGTTCATAGCTCACAATGACAAGGCCATGCGAGTTCGGTCTGAGCCCGTAGCTTGCAATCATGGAGGAGGTTAAGCTCAAGCTCATGAGGGGTGCGGCTAGCCGCAAGCTATTTAGCAAAAGCTCGACCACGATTGTTGCCAAAATTGAGATTGTTGACCTCGAGTTGGTCTAGACTTGGGCGAGCACGATGATCGACAGTGTGAGATTTTGTGGGATAAGTAGGATCACTGCCAATTGTTTAAAAAATTTAAGTATAATACTAAGCTAGATATATTTAATTGGGGAGACAAATGGGGCTTAAAGAGATTTAAATTCGGGAAAAGTACCAAAAAAGTCTTAAATCTATTGTATTAGTACGAATTCAGTCTTAAACCTTTCAATTAGACCAATTTACTCCTAAACATTTTTACATTGGTATCAATTCAGTCCATCCAATCAATTTAGACCAGAAATCGCTGGCATAGGACTACCGACGCTGATGTAGACAAATTTTATAATTTTTTCAGATTTTTTAAATGTTTTTTTCTCTTTTCCCAGAACTGGTTGGCCGGCGAGGTTACCGACTGACCATTGTCGGCCACAGGCTAGTCTTGGCGAGGGCTTGATGCCCTCCCCCATGGCCGGCAAGGGCGCGGCGACCCTCGCATGGATTTGGGCGAGGGCGTGGGGGCCCTCAACTAGACCAGGCGAGGGTTGCCATCCCTCACCCGTGCCCGACGGCAACTAGTTTTGGGAAAGGAAAAAATAAAAAACATTAAAAAAATATAAAAAAATTATAAAATTTGTTCATGTCAGCGTCGGCAGTGCCATGTAAGAACGCCGGCGTCCACGTGAGCAATTTTTTACCTAAATTAGCCGAATGGACTAAATTGGTACAAATGTGAAAAGGTTTAGGATTAAATTGATCTAATTGAAAGGTTTAGAACTAAATTGATACTAATATAATATGTTTAAGATTTTTTTGATACTTTTTCCAATAAAAGCATGGTTCAAACTTTGATTATTCTATCATGGTGCGATGAGCGTGGAACGAACGCAAGACCTTCAGATCGAGCAAGCCTCTCGGGGTCAAGGGGGAAGGTGCAGGTGGATGTTGGATTTTTTTTGGGGCGAGAATAGTTTGAAAAATTAAACGAACACATGACCTTCAGATCAAGCAAGCCTCATCGGTGACCCCCACCTGCTGTCCCTCCACCGGCCCCTCCTGGCGATGGTGGGGTGGCGGCAGGGAGGGCAAGCCCTCCTTCTCCGCTTGTCCTCCTCCCTTTTTTTTTTTTTTAATTTTGCTTATTTTTATATTTAATTTAAATAAATTTAGTATTAAAAATTAAATTTGAGCTATACAACGTTGTTTTAGCCACGTAGGAGAGGGAAAATATTAAAATAAGTCACGTCAGCGCCATGTCAGCGTTTTCCATTAGTAAATTTGACAGTGTTAATTTTAGGACTCATTTAAACTAATTTGACAAATTTTAGAATTTAATTATATTTTTTGTAAATTTTATGATTCAATTATATTTTTGTGACAAGTTTTAGGATTTTTAATGATCATTTTTTTTTTTTCCAAACAACTGAAACGACAAATTAAGGTTCCGAAGAATTCACTGGTTAGTCAAATGATTAAGAAAAAAATTAAGCAAAGATAATCTCACTCCTAAGCAGGCCGGCAGCACCAACCAACCAACCAACGAGGAACTGCCACTGGAGTCCAAAGTCAAACCCACAACCTCTCTCTCTCTCTCTCTCTCTCTCTGTTCCCAAATATCTCCGGAAGCTTTAAGGTTGTTCTTGATCGTGGTCCCGTCTGCGTTCTTGAAAAACTCTCGAGGACGAAGCCATGAACTCGATCTCGAGGCACTTACAGACCCCATCCTCGCTCTTCGCCTCCCTTGACTCTTGCCCAGACTCGCTCCGCACGCGAACGCGCTGTCAAGTCCCAATCTTGCCGCGAAACTCGCCTGTTTCGTCCTCAAGTAAGCGCTCTTTCGAGTGTTCTTCCGTGTTTTTGCGGTGTACGCTCGTCTGTTGTTTCTGGGTCCGTGATGGCGATGGTCTGATTCGATTCTTGTTTTTTGGGTCGCCTAGGGTTTGCGGCGTCACTGAATCCGGTTTGTTCAGGTTGGTGGTGTTCTCCTCATTTGCTTCCGACATCACAAGCTGTTTCGTTTGTTTTTGGGTTCTTGGGTCTTGGTTTTTTTTTTCTACTTGGTGGTTAGTTTTGTGGATTGTTGCGTGAGCCTCTTTTGTGCTAATTGGTAGTTCATAGCAGAAGACACGGCTCGAGCAAATGTAAGTCAGGGGATTTCTCGGAGTCTCTCGAGCTGGAGCTGGGTCGGGAGTCGTCATCTGAATCAATGCAGGTGCATTTAGTTCTTCTCTAAACGCCCCTCATATTGGAGTGATGTGAACAGCAAGTGAAGGGCTTGTTTATTTTAATTGCATCATCCAAAAGAGTCTGCGAACCTCATATTTAATGCAGATTCGGTTTACTTATTTGTTCAGCGGCTGTTAGTACGATCATGTGTTATGTAGTTCTTTTGAGGCAGATGTGAAACCCTCAATAACAACAGATGCTCGGTGTCTTTTTTTAAGCCATCTGTGCCAACGGAGCAGTTTTCTATCGTGGAGATCTTAAAGAAAGCAAATTCTTTTCTGCCTCATGTTGTTCTTGCAAGTACGTTGCTGGCTCTTATATATCCGCCGTCCTTCACTTGGTTCACCAACAGGTTGCTAGATCTTCTCCAGATATGTTGCTTGGCTATAAATTTATATCTAGATGCTCAATGGGTGTTATCGAATCTGCATTCAGGTACTATGCACCTGCACTAGGGTTTCTGATGTTTGCTGTGGGGGTTAATTCCAGCGAGAGGGACTTTCTTGAAGCGTTTAAGAGACCCGCTGCTATTTTTGCTGGCTATATTGGCCAGTTCATTGTGAAGCCTCTTCTTGGTTATTTCTTTGGCATGATGTCTGTAACAATGTTTTCGCTCCCAACATCCGTTGGTAAGTACTAGTCTCCATTCCCTCTCTAAAGCCAGTGAACTGGTAATTGACTTTCTTTGAACCTAAACTTCAGGTGCTGGGATTATGCTGGTGTCTTGTGTGAGTGGGGCTCAGCTTTCTAATTATGCTACTTTTCTGACTGACCCATCAATGGCTCCTCTGAGTATTGTCATGACATCATTATCTACCGCTACGGCTGTTTTTGTGACCCCTTTGTTGTCACTTCTTCTCATTGGCAAAAGATTGCCGGTCGATGTGAAAGGAATGGTTTCCAGCATTTTGCAGATTGTCATTGCACCCATCACTGCAGGGTTGCTCCTGAATAGGTTAAACACTCAGCTTTGCTATATGGACATTTGCTAGGGAGTTTCAGTAGTTTAATTTCTCATAGTTTGCTTTTAGGTTCGTCCCTTGGATTTGTAATGCCATACGGCCACTTTTGCCGCCACTCTCCGTCTTTGTGACGGCTCTATGCGTTGGAGCACCTCTTGCAATAAACGTTCATTCCATCATGTCTTCATTTGGTTTGATGATCTTGTCACTCATTATAGCATTTCATCTGTCTGCATTCGTCATTGGATACTTCCTTCCCGGTTTCATCTTCCAGAAGGCTCCTGACGTAAAGGCATTGCAAAGAACACTATCCTTTGAGACAGGTGCCTCCTTTATCCATCCGAAATAAGGAGAGGGGTTTCTTTTTTCTCCCGCTTAATAGCAAGTATCGTTTGCAGGAATGCAGAGCAGCCTTCTTGCGCTCGCTCTAGCTAACAGATTCTTTCAAGATCCACTTGTGGCTGTGCCTCCAGCTATCTCTGTAAGTGAACATGTCAACGGAAGTTTATTTCTATCCTTTTTGATAAGTTAATGTCACTCATCTCATAGCAAATGCGAGCTAACTTCTGTATTGATTCCTGAAGAAAGTGGAGTATGATAAGTCAATGTTCCTGCATTGTCGCGTCCCTCTTTGATCAAAGAATTCCTGCAGCCTGCGTTTCTGATGACACATGCAGATATTTGAGGAGTGGCCTTTCTTTTTTTCCTATGATGTGCAGACTGTGATGATGTCTTTGATGGGCTTCTCCCTCGTCATGCTTTGGGCTCGGAGAAGAGCGACCGGCCAGTGAAGCAGATCCTCCTGGGAAATGCTCACCATGATTTCGACTTCGATCCTCCAGTTTGCAGGCTTGGATGGCAAGCTCATTGACTTTTGGAGGTTACGCATAGGAAAATGACGTAGAGATGGCAATGTTCCTTTATGTGAAATCTGATTTCGATATTCTCTTCCAACTTTGATACTGATATATTGTCGAAAACCTATGTATGGTTGCAGACTGCCGTTGTAGGAATGTTTGGCTATGCCTCGGATGCTTACTAGAGATGTTCGAGTTTAGTCAATAAAGTTTAATTTAAGGGTAAGAATATCTCAAGTGTCATATTTTTCGTATGATACTTATTTGAGTGTTTTGACTCTTTTTCATTCGCTTGAGTGTTGCATTTCTTAAAGATCGTTCACTCGAGTGCCATCGACGATTTCTCTCTCCGGAAATCCAACATGGGATTTATTTATTATAGGGGCTCGCCGGCAAGATAAAGTCAATAAGTCGGGTCATGGTGGCTTTGCACTAGCCTTTTGCTAGTCCCTAACGAACTTTGCAATACAGGGTGCTTGCTTGATTGCAACTAGGAGAGATGGCGGATGATTCCAATACCAAATGATATGGACCTTAGAAGAGCCACTTCCCAAAATCCGGCAGGAGAGCCTAAGGTCATAGAATAACGCGTCATAATTCTCTCTCACTGGTGTCAGATTCAAATCTCATTCTTTGCGATTAAGATCATAATAGACAAGTAAAATTAACAGCAATATAGAAAATATATGGAAATTTATGTTCTTGTATATGATAAAAGTGTCTTTGTGTTTATTAATAGGTCTTTAATTTTAATCGAGTAGGATGAATACGCACAATAACCTATAAGGTAAAAAGTTCCAACGACGAAGTATAAGAGAGCAAGAATATTAGTTATAGTTGCAAAAATGAATCATTCGTAGAAAATTTTTCAAACTTTGATAAGTTAACGGCCTGTTTGGACAGACTTTTATTTTTTTATTTAATCTAAATTTTGGGGTGCACGTATTTTTGTTATTTTTCAATTTCAAATATCTAATAATCTTTTAACGATGAATAAAAATAAAATAACAAAAAAAGAAAACAGAAGAAAGAAGAGCATCCGTACAGTTCCCGACGTCGCAGAACTAGAAAACTTCCCTGCACTCTTCTTCTTCAGCTTCCACCGAAGCGCGATAATGGCGGGATCAACCGCTGCATCTCTCGCCTGCCTACCCTCTCTCCGCCGCACGCGTCCCGTCCTCTCATCGCGTTCTCCTTCGCCGCCTCCTCGCCTCCGCGCCGGAGCCGCCCCCTCGCCGAGCTCCCCCCGGGCCGCCGCCGCGAGGGGCTCGCTGGCCGCGGCGAGTCTGCTCGGCGCCGGCTGCTTGGCCCTGGCGCTGGCGAGCGCCGCGTCGGCCGCCGCTGCCGCCGAGCCGGCCTCGCTCCTCGTCGTTCCTTCTCTCCAGCTCGCCGAGCCCGCCAATGCGCTGTCCTTGCCTACTTGGGCCGTGCACGTCTCCAGCGTCGCCGAATGGTACGTGCGTGCATCGTGTCGTGCTGTATCGATTTCGTGGCGATTTTTTTCGATCGAGCGTAGAGAGAGTTCGTGCGTTTCGTGCCGAGTTCGGATCTGCTTAAGAGCTTTTCGGTTTTGGGGAGGCCTCTGGTCGCTAGTCAGATTTCTGGCTTCTGGCTTTCGAAATTGACATGACGAGCTCTTGGCCAGCATTGGAACTTGGAAGCAAATGCTATGAATAGAGGCAGCTAAAGCTTCGAGCTTTTTGGAGGCAGCGACTCGGCATAATCGTAAAGAATGTTGAAATTGTCTTTGATCGTGCAATGTGTAATTACGACATACTTCTGCCCATCTGTACGCAAAGCAAAGAAGAGAATTTTCGAAGCTCGAGATTTCAAAACACGATATTTCTTATCATTATTCTAAGTTGTCTTGTTTGCCTACTCTTGGAATTGAATGCTTTGTCATCATTGCCGTTAATCCTTAGTATTTATAGGAGATACGACGAGGATGCAACTTAACTGAACTGAAATACCGTCTGTTTATGTGGACAAATTTGTTGCGATGATATTTCGTTCAATCTGTCTCTAGGATCACAGCTATGGCATTGGTGTGGCAATATGGAGAAGTGTCTGGATATGAGTCCTGGAAAGGTCTTTCATGGGGTATGGTGAGTGACTTTGATACCCTGTGCTGGATTGTCTTTTGCGGTGTATCTACTGAAAGACCTGCTGTTAATATGAACCTAGACGAATTTTCATTAGCCAAGTTCAAGTGGTCACTAAAAGTGTCATGAGGTGTGGTCCTTATTGTAGCAACCATATGCCGTACAGATTTTGTCTCAGGGTTATGAACACGATACAAGAAAGGTTTGAAATATTTTATCTATATCAAGGAACTTGCTTTTTTTCATTTTCGTTAACCTTGTTCTTTGTAGCTACCAAAATCTGATGTACTTTTCCACTCGCTATCTTCTTTTTCTTTTTCCATGTTGAGATTTTGGTCTATTTGTCTATACCACATTATCATCATACTTCTTAATTGTATTTGTTAATGAACATCTTTAGTATATTTACATCACTTTGTTCTTTGATTGGAGTTGAGATTCTTGAATAGTCTACTTACAGTCAATCAACTTGCTTGGATAGTGGCTACACAATATCATCTCCTCTTGTACAAAATATCTTACTTCTGCAATAATCTGGTTTCTTATTTCATCTGTATTTACCATGTAATTGTAATATCTTTTGCTTTGTTGATTTAGGTACCGTTGCTTGGCGGAGCATTTTGTGCATGCACATGGCATTTCTTTTATAACTCTGAATCCCTGGAGGTATTATCTCGGTGTTCATGTTGAATTTGTCTAAACATTGCTAGAGGATGTCATTACTGAGTATACGTTGTCTCTATTTTCTATAGGTATTGGTGGCCCTTCAAGCAGCATTGACTGTGATAGGAAATGCAACAATGTGCTTTGCGGCATTCCGCATATACAGAGCATCAGAGGAGCGCTCTGGAAAATTGTGAAGTTTTCATGGTACCTTCACATCCTATGTGCCTAATGTGGTCTTCTGCCTATATTCCATATCCTTTCATCACATACTCTACTGGATAAGACCTTTTTTTGGGGGGTCCATTCATGCTAAGTAGATTTCTAACCTTCTCCTGATAAATAATTAGATTCTCTAACTTTGAATTCTTATTGAGCATCTTAAATCTTCTATAAAGGATAGATATGATGACGTGCAGAATGTGTGACGACCCTTCTTTGGCAGGAATGACCATGAGTTTTCATGATGCTAGGAGCCGTCTCACTGGTGGAGGTTGAGTTCGATGGTCCTTGACGGATTACATTGATATAGAATTAATCATCATGCAAGAGATGCTGGAAAAGCTGGACCCTTCGAAATTTCCTTGAGTTGATTTATATGATGTATTCGTATTTATTCATAACAGTGAAATTAATTCAAAGTTTCTGATAAGTTTGTATAGATCAATTGATTGGTGCCAGCTTTCCAATAGGCTTCATTCAAATGCATCTCTGGAGTCTGGATTTGTCATCTGGTTGCCTCATCTGTGGACTTACCAATTTCTTATTGGAGAAAAATCCATTTCCCAATCGGTGTGTGATCAGGTTCAGCTTGTAACATGACATCTATGTAAATCTGGAAATATGTTTTGCTTTTACCTTGTTAATAAATCCTAGTTGACTAATTTCTTCTTCATTGTCTCGTGTGATTACCTTGCTTAATAAATCATAATCTGGTTAATGCTGTAATGCATTTGTTCATCCTAGTCAAATATGTTTGGAGTATTTTGGACCTTGCTTGCGAGAAATTCAACTGTGTCCAGTATGTCTTGTTCCTCATAAATGCAGTGCCGGAAGATTTGTTACACTAGATTTGTGGATGGTGGGGAGAAGAGAATATTATGTTCTTGCAATAACAGCATTATGTTGACTTCCTGCACGTATGTGCTCAAATGAAAGTGACTGAAGTAAACTGAAGGAATTTGGCACAAAATGCGTACTCCTACTGCTGAAAATTCCTGAAATGTTTTTTTCCCCATCCTGCGTATCGTTCGATGCATGTGTTTGCGATACTTATTTTAAGTGAGATAGGTAATTAGCATCTATTTGTTTCACTGAGGCACATCCACAAGCCACCTGGTCTGCTCTTGCCGTGTGCGCATAATCTCTGGCCAGACCTTTAATTTAAAGAGCATGTCCATGAATATGTTTGTTCATTGTTACATGTCATAGAACTCTAGTAAGATAAGGCTTGTGGTGGGGAGGATGCCTGAATATGTTCATTCATTTTTACACAACTCTAGTAATATAAGACTTTTGGGTGTTCTTATGACCTCATGTGTTTTAAAGTAAGAAAATCTTTCCAGATACAATAGGGAAAATTATGAATCTTGAACTGAGGTGAGTAATGGAAAAAATTTTGACAGCAAAAATCACTTGCATGACAAGGCTAGAACCAACATTTCTGTACCAAAAACTTCTTCACGAAATTTGCTTGAAATTCACATTATCTTTAGCTGGTCTCGAAGTAGGAACAACTGGTCTCTGAGTTTCTTCTAATATATTTGTCACTAGCAGCTTCCATTTCAGATAATGTCAGGCGTCACTGGAATCTGGAATCTACCTACATAGCAATTGATCTTGTACGCGAGTACTCTCTTTTTATAAGGTTTTGAAGCATTGTTCGTCAAATTAGCACACATTGAAATTCCTTCGCGAGTGTTTTCTCCATATATATTTCTTGTTACGAGCTTATGTTTTCATGATTGCTGACCTTCTGACAGAAAGCCATGAATGGAAAGCAGAAAGTAGATAAAGATAGTAAAGATTGATATATGATCGCTGATGTAGTTGCTGAATGATATTATATCAGAATATTTTCCTAAGGCTGATTATTCAGTTGATTAAATTGATTTGAGTCTGTCAATTTGGGAGATAGCGACAATTCTTGATCTTTCTCAATATCTTCTCAATGGAAATTCTATCTATGAATTAGAAAATTGAAAAACTGAACTATATCATGATTACCCCAGATTGAAACTGCAACGAACTCAGTTGTCTGCACATCAAGCTGCATAGATTCTGACTATGGTGAAAGTCCATCTCTAAGAGTAGTTTATAAGTTCAGGAGGCAGCATCCAGCATAAGGGGAGGGGTTCATACATACGGCAATGACTGGATAACATATCTACCTTGAACAATTACACTAACTCACTTGCTTTATAGCATAATCTTTCATTTTTATCAGCCTCTACCATGCTTAATTATCATAATAGGGTGCATCCTTCAATATCAGCCCTCGATTGCACATGTGAAATCAACTGCTGGGTTGTGACGTAGATGAGGGAACTTTTTCTGGAATTCCAGCATTAAGGCCAAGTTCTCCTGATGGAGAAGATTAGCTTTCTTCCTCAACTTCTCATTCTCTTCAATGATAGTTCGGTTCACAAAGTACAGCTTCCAGTTCTGTAGTTCCATGTCCTTCTCCACGTTTTGCTCACCTCTCCTCCTGATGAAAGGGCTAAACAAGTAAGTTTCCGCATTAACCAGTAGAGGGAGATTTGAGTGCTGGACTAATAAAAAGGCACAAATAGTGTTGGTTTAAGAGGAAGATATAACACTATTGTGAGAATGGTTAAACTTGAAACATACCTTGCTAACCTGTGAACTTGAATTTTCGATCTTCTCGGTTGTCGCCTTTTGTCAAAAGAGTGGAAGGAATGAGAAGGCATCATTTCTTCATTGTTAGAACACATTTTTTCGCTAGACATGTTCCGAAGTAGATGATTTTTTTAGATGAATTGAGAGGGTATGGTGAACGGAATCAATCTTGGAATATAAGCTCTTATTTAAAGGAGAGCTCGTGTGCTGACGTGGCAGGCTGTCTCTGTGTGTTTGTATGTGAGAGAGAGAGAGAGAGAGAGAGAGAGAGAGAGAGAGAGAGGGTCTGGACTTGGCTGCTCAACATTTTCTTTCTTGGGCAATGATGGCAGTAGAGAAAGGCAACCTCATATATTCTTCTCTTCTTAAGGGAAGAAAGAGCCTTTTGTAGCTGTTCTTCTCCTTGGATTTTCTCCAAATGACAGGTTCAGGTTAAAAAATACAGCTGTTGCTTTGGGAGAATGACACAGAGAGCAATGTTAAAGGTACAATGGCTGGTTTACATTCTGATGTGATGAATTCTAAGTGGGTTTTTAGACGAGCCGTGATTTCAAGACAACAAATGAGTTGCCATATCTGTGTAAGTTAATTTTTAAAGCAGTCAATGTATCTCTAGCACTATCAGGCTTAAAAGTTGAATTTGTTGGTCAATTTATCTCTAGCACTATCTTTATGCATGTTTGTTGTAGTTCACTGAGAATTCATCACCTGATTACAGGTGACCTTATGGAGATTTTCACCCTATTGGTGCTGTTGGTCGTGATATAGAAAGTAGAATGGCTGTGACATCATACTAAAATAAGCTCTGCAAGAGACTTATCATTAGACTGTGATAGTGAAAAGCTGTCTGGTGATATTCATTGTGAAGCTCTTGATGCATATTTGCAATTTCATGAGGATGATATCCATCTCAACCAGCTCCTGTTGTCCCACAAATTGGATTGCAGTGTTCATCTCCTTGGTGCAGTGTCCCAATCCACAGGTTGGTAACCCTACGACTCTGTGGCATACTGAAAAAGGGCACATAGAAAACATTGTCGTCAGTGCTCTCACCAAGTGTACTGAGGTTCTATCCATGTTATTGGGGCTACCTGTACTACCACGTCTCTCTCCTTAGTTTTTTTTATTTTTATATTTTTTAATGACGAGGAAACCCCGTTTCAGGAGTTACCAGCGATTCTTGTGAGTATGTTTTGTGTAAAATTAGGTCGAGCCGTCATCTCCAGCCTTTAGCATCCATTCATTGATAGGTAGTAGTTTGGGAACATCTGTTATCTGCTGGAGGATTAAGTTTGAGTCTTCAATTAGTTTGTTGTGGTCTACTGTATCAAATTGGTCTTGCTCTAGCATTATCACGAAAACCCGCCGAATTCTGTCACTTGATTGTCTTTGCGAGAGAGAAAAAATTTCTGCGTGACTCTGTCACGGCAACTGTCAACTATCGTTGCAGCTTCCAGCAGATGCCTCGGGGTTCTCTATCCTCGGCAATTGCACAATTCTGGAAATGTTTCTAGCTCCAAGGGTGAAATGCAGTGACTTTCTAGTAATGCCGGCAAGTGCACCTGGGCACAGGAATCACGCAGACAATAAATGTGCGTGCGCGCACGCGCGGGCGCGTGAGAGAGAGAGAGAGATGATGCTCCTCAATCGGTTGTTGTCAACATGAAATTATTACTATACACGCATAGCATAGGTGGAGGATGGCGATTGCAACAGTTCAAGGTTCAGGTTGATAAAAAAGGTGTGTGTATGTCAGAGTGGGTTTTTTGCCATCACTAGGTCTAGGGTATTCTCTCTCTGCTTAGAGCTTGGTGGCCCATTGGCATCTTTGCACTCTCTGCCTCGCCTTTGCCTTGCTTGTGCTCCTTTATTTGTTCGTTTTTTCCTCTCTCATCATACTCAATTTGAACTGCAAACCTCAAGAGTCAAATTCTATATCGAAGGCTGGATCCATTATGGCCTCTCTATTTCCCTCTGCCTTTGATGGCAAATGATGGTGGTATTTGCATGATTTGAGATGTGAACAGGGGGATCCAAGCTGTTTTATTGTGTAGATCACATTGTCTCGGGGCCTTATTCGTGTGAACGCCTCGTAAAGCTTTTTTGAATGATGAGCAGTGGCAAAACATAAAGCATTTGGAGTCTTATGCGAGTTTCCGCAAGGCATGCATCATTTCTCGTGTAGAATTTTACGTCTAGAGGAATTACTTTCAAATTGAAAAGCTTAAAACGATCAGGTGGGCTCACAATGTAAAAAGCCACAATCAAGGCTGCTAAAGACACTTTGACGATAGAGGTTGGGCTCCGACGTTACGTTCTGCGAAACGTGGCAAATTTTTGTTTCTTGTAAAGTTCATGGAAAATTTGGTTTCTAGGGATTGTCCGTACCAAGATCATAGGCACCGACGACCCAAACTAATGTGTTTGTACTGAGTACACCAGCCAATTCTAAAACTCATCGATACCGGACGCATGAGGCAGTAGAATAAGACATGCAATTGACAGATTCCTAATCATTCTACACTTGAATAGGGGCGGCAAAGAGGAGCCACTCCAAGAGTACCCAATACCACTCAATGCCTCACTTATTTCTTCTTTTACTACTTTCTGCTCACTGCTTCTCTACGATATGAGCTAGGTGAGGTTGAGACTCGTCTTTAGTCAACCAAGAAATGAAGCCAACCCCCTCTTTCCCTTCCATTCGTTGCACTCTTCATTGTCCTCGAGTGCCCCTAAATTGCACTGTCCACACAACATGATGTACCGGTTGACGACGTAGCTCTCGCATGCACCAATTATATGGTTGCCGACGCGATGATCCCCCCTAGGAGCAAGGCCTCTGTGATCGATCCACATCGACCATTTCTCTTGTGTATGTATCTAATCCTCCCACTAGAAGTGCCGGGCAATCGATTACTCGGGCTTGTTGTTGGTTCATATCAGCTTCTTCATCATCATCGTCGTCCAGGTCCAGGTTTCATTGATTTTCCGCAGCATCATGGCGATTTTGATAACTTTGAAATAGGGTTTCGGAAGTTTCAACTCGTGCATAATTGTATCTGCAGAAACTATGCTATACCTACACTCATTTGTACGACGAAAACGTGGACGCACGACGGCTCTCGAGTCTCGACCTAGTCGGATTGATCGGCCGAGAGCTCACGTGATCAAGTGTCATCATCTAGAGTTAACTGTCATGGTGAATCCCCAAATTCGTAACTTGTAAATCTCCTGCATATTCGATGATGGGCCCGTCGCACGGTGACCGATGCTCGTGTTGTTTTTTAGTATTCACCTCTGATGTATGCCGTCGGATCGATCAGTCCCCATCTGCACCCACCAATCTAGCGACTTTGATTGCTGTGACTGACTGTGAGATCATTCAGTGAACTTGAAATTATGCACGTCAACCTACGGTTTGAAGTGAGGATCATCGTGTGGATGGGGTGCTTCCCGTTGCTCAGCGAGTTGGGACAAATGAAAGAGTTCTTTCTCTTCTTTTCCTCGCTCACGACCAATAACATAATCTCAACTATATTGTTCTTCTCGAAATACCGAGAATCGCAGACATTAAACAAGAAAAAAAAGCATATCATGATGGCATCGACGCACTAAAACGACATCCGCCTCTTATGCGAAGGCACATGATGAGATGACGGAAAGAAAAAGGACAATAAGGTTTGATGAGCTATGGTACTTAGCTTATAAATCTGACCGATAAGTAAGTTTTAGAAACGAATGCCACTCGTGGTTATCTTCCCATTTCACGTCGCTACTTGCAAGACTCCTTTGCTGTGCCTACTTTTCTCTTCCTTCTTTTGGGTCATCTTCTTGGTGGTTTATCTTTCTCGAGTTTTCATTTCATTAAGATGAAAAACAGAAGCCATCCAAGATGAAAAGCCTGAAATCCATAAGCTGAACCAAATTTTTTGGATGTTTGGAAGCCGCTGTGAGGTTTGAAAGATTCGCGATCGTTCCCGCTATCATTATCTTTATCCTGTTCATTGAAATCGGATAGATATTGACTTAGAAAGTACGATCCAATCTCCATAAGCTTAAGAAATTGTCAGGAATGCTCGGATTCCATGTCTCCTAGATATGGATGAATCGATACCTTGATTAGACTTTTCTTCTCCCGAAAGACAAAGAGCCGTAGAATTTCGGTCCGATCAAAGACAAGTAGTTTGCAGGAAAATAGGATTTTCACAGGGAAATATGACATGTATTTTAAGACTTTATCCACAAGTAAAACTGTCAAACGGGTGAATCAGGTTGGGTTTGGATCTGGTCGAAAATGATACGACTCAAACTAGCCCATTTCACCCGATTTGATCCATTTTTATGCAATAAAATGGAGTGACCTGTATCCAACATATTCCATATTATTGAAACACTTATATATTTAACCTAATCTAGAAAAATACATACCCAAACTTTGGTGCGAGAACGGAGCAAGCGAGCGCGAGATTGAGTGGGGGCGAAAGAGAGTGAAGAGAGAATCATAAAGGTAGGTTAGATCTAAGTAAGTTGTGAATCTATTTAACATTCATATTATCTTGAGTCTTATCATTCTAAACTCATTTACCAAATATAATTAATCCATATAACAACCCAGCCCATCAAATATGAGCTAGAAATAACCCATTTTCACAGGTCTATCCACAAGGGATTAAGTTGTTTATGAACCAAATCATAAACTTAACATCTCTCTATCTTGGTGGTTTCTCAATATCAGTTAGTATTGACCCTTGAATTAGCTAGGCATTTGAGCAAGTTGCCTGCTCAATGCTCTTACAAATCTGCTTAGGCCCATTACAAGTGTGCACTAACATTGAACCTCCATGGATACTAGTTTAGGTCAAGCCACTCAAGCCCAAAAGAATGTGCATTTGCTAGGCCCATTACAAAGTTCATTACCAATGGACCCAGAATTCTAAATTAGGGAGGGGAACCAAAATTTTAACTGAGATGTCCGATTATTTTTGTGAAAAAATTAATTAATATTTTTTTTTAAAAATCGGGTTCTAGGGAGCAAGGGCCACCGCTAGTCCCCTAGGTCCGACGATGTCTTATTATATCGCTTCCATTCCGTGTTGTGCCGTTGCAGAGTTTTCCTTGAAAGCTTGCCGTACTAGTTACATGTGGTGCGGTGCGTCTATCTAAGATTGGTATTTTAGTGACCATCGAACTCTTCATCGTGATAGAACCGAATGATGATTTTCTGTTTAGTTTCTAATAATCTCAACAATTATCAAAGGACGATGTTAGAATTAGCCCTTGAATTTTTACTCAACATTCAATTTGGTTCTTAAATCTTAAATTCGTCAGATTGATTTTTGTATTCTTTGATTTAAACAAATGTGATCTCTTTAGCCCAAATGGCTATCAAAGCCATCTCGTGGAACTCACACTTGTTAACGTGCACAGCCATGTTAGCATATCAACATAAAATTAAAAAAAAAGGAAAAGCCACAAAAAATCCCAAACTTTGCTCACTGTGACATATTTACCCTAAATTATACCCCAAACTTATACTTGTCTGACACATTTTGATGTCACAAAAAAAAATTTGAGGTAAATGTGTCACGTTGTACAAGATTGGGGTAAATTTGTTACATAGTTACAAGTTTTGGGTTTTTGATGTCACAAAAAAAAATTCGATGTAAATGTGTCATAGTGGGCATAGTTTAGGTTTTTGGTGGCTTTTACCCTTAAAAATATATAAAAAATAATAGCAACATATGAAAGGTTGCAGACCCTTGCCAGTAAACCTCACTTGGGTCTCGATGAGGGAGGCTAGCTCTCGCTGGTGGCCACACGAGGGCCACGAGCCCTCGTTAATAGCAAGCGAGAGCTTGCTTGCCCTTGTGCAACTATCGGCGAGGGTTGGCTACCCTCGCCAAGACCCTAGGGAGGTTTGCTAGCCCTCACTAGCGCAAGTGGTGCCTCTCCAATTGTCTGTCTCTCCCCCTATACTTATGCTCCCATTCTCCTTTCTTTTTATTTTTTTAATTAATGTTGAGGTGGCTACACACTTGGATAGCCAAGGTAGCAATTGTAAGTTCCATAGAATGAGTTGGATTGTCATGTCAATGATCATATTGGTCCAAATCAAAAAGTCAAGAATCAAAGCGGTCAAAATTGAAGTTTAAGGACCAAATCAAACTTCAAGCTCAGTCCGGGTACCAATTTTTGGCATTATCCTAATTATCAATGCACATGGAAGGATTAGAGCAAGAAAGGAAAAGAAAAGCTATCTTTTGGTGGTTAAGTGCAATTATCTAGTTTGATTTGGAAAAGAGAGAGGACTTTAGAACACCCAATTTTTTCCTTGAGCCACACTTCACTTATGAGTTCAAGATTTGTCAAAAAAGAA